ATCCAGATGAGATAATGGATGAGCAAAGGGAGAGGGAGATGATCACTAAGCTCAACAAGCTATTCCGGTACTGTAGTAGTATAGATTTGATGATATATTGTGTGGTATTGATATCAGGGAGTTTGTACGACAAGTGGAGGAGCAGGTGTGGTCGCAGTATGCTCCCAACTTGGAGTTTGACATGCCTTATCGCGAGCTGGGGTTCACTGGTGAGTTCATTGTCTGGAGTAGTAGTAGTAGTAAAGGTAGTGAACTATGGCAGGTACTCCTAATAAAGCGCATGTGGACATCTACCCTTGTCGGGACTGTATAGTTGCTCTCTCGGAATGGCCGGCTTATGTGCTTAGTCTTAGGAACATCGATATCGTATATTTCGAAAGGGTAATAACAACACTAGTACTACTACTTTTACTACTTTTACTACTTTTACTACTTTTACTACTTTTACTACTGTTACTACTTTTACTACTATTACTACTTTCACTGCTTTTATTACTACAAGTATTACTGGTGTAGGTATCATTCAATCTACGAAACTTCGACATGACATTCATATTTAAAGACTATACGCAGACACCAGCTAGGATATCTATTATACCTACAGAGAGTCTTGATCAGATCAAGCAGTGGTTGGGAGAATTAGGGGTAGGAAAAGGAGGAGGAGGTCGCGGGTTCGAATCCCACGCGTGGGGTTATTTTTAGATTGTATGGTATCAGGGGCCGACCAACATGAACTGGACTAACATTATGAAGGAAATTAATAAGTAAGTTCAGAAAGGAGTGGTATGGAAAGTAGCACGCATGCACATTTTCTTTGCAGGAAGAAGCAAGCATTCATCGACAACGGCGCTTGGGAAGGATGGTTTGGCGAGTCTGTTGACGAGGGTAGTATCCGAGGTACCACTCGGTATGGATACGGATCATGTCAGGATCTGACGATGGCATGGATGAGGGCGATGAGGAATACACTGAAAGTGAAGACAGTGATGTTGAATCGGAGGCTGGGGGCTCTGAGTAGGTCGCCATTGTCGGTAGTAGCTAAGGTTGGTCATCTCAGATACAAAGGGGGCGGCTCTGATAGCGATTCGGGAAGCAGCTTTTTGGGTGAGTACAGTCGGCAATTGGTGTGACATCCTCATTGTTTTAGTTGATGAGGAATCCGATTCCGATTCGGAGGTGTCCCTGGCATCGGACGAATCGGAGGGACTGAGCTGGGATGAGCTGGAGAAGAAGGCGGCCAATGTAGCTCCTGTGCTGAGGGGTGCTTTGTGGTAGTTATTGTGTTGCTCGTGTTAGGAGGATCGAAAGCGACGTCGTAGTCCTGAGAGTTCAGAGAAGAAAAGGCCTGTGTCGAAGAAGAAGAGACGATGAAGTGTGTGTGGTGTGGTAACGTAATGTTCATTGATGTTAATATTATTACTAAAGGAGGTATTATTGTTGAATGCCCCTTTGATTAAGCACGTCCCTAATTCCCCTACACCTTTCGATGCCCTATGGTCGTTTTCGTAAGAAGTGCATTGTACTGTGCGGTTGCTGTTGCGCTCAGTGGTAGGAGGTTGCTGGGCCTTTGAAGCGGCGAGAATAATTTCACGATGAAATATGCGATGTGAAAGGAAGAGCAGTGTGGGAATATATG